CACACACACACACACACACACACACACACACACACACACACACACACACACACACACACATTCACACACACACACACCGTGTGGTCTACCACCGTGCTCCTCAATAGAAGAATCCGTGAACTAAAAAAAAAATAAAAAATTAAGCCAACTACGAACGCAATGACTGGACTTCAATCAACACACGATCGAACGGCCTACGTCGGCGACCGACCACGGATGGCGGAAGTGATCTCCATAAGCGCGTGGCACATCATCCTCTGCGTCTCATCGGACGCCGCATAGTGCGCTTTTTGGACTGCAACTTCCTGCTCGAGTATATCGCATTGCCTCTTGAATATGCTGCATTGCCGCTTGCTAGACGAATCGATCGTCGCCGACATCAGTTCGCCATGGCGGTCCATGACATCAGCGATCGACTCCAACGCCTGTTGACGCGCATTCTTCCGCTTCCCGCCTCCAGCCCCACTGCCTGCGTTGTTGTCGGAGTCCCTCGCTGAAGAACGTTCTTGAGGGCAGCCGTCACCACGGGCCTCACTACCAACAGACTCCCCACCAATCGCTCCTCGCCTGGGCAGCTGCAACCCGTCCGGACTGCCGGTGTCGGCGACATTGGGAGGGAAAATTGTATGGTTCCCCAGCATGCCTGTGTGGATCTCGTTGTACAACACCCTCTCCATCCGGAACTTGAAGTTGTGCTCCTTCCTTTCTTCATTCGATAGCCTGAAGAAATTTGCTTGACCACTGGCATTCTGAAACCTCTGTATCTTCTTGTAGTCTTGGAAGAGATTGTCCCACTTCTTCATGCAGTCGTCGGCGTCTTTAGGCCTCTCCGCGTTCGCCATGCGCTTCGCAATGTCGTCCCGCTTCCACTCCTTGGTCCGCATCCGCCCGTAATTGTGACCCCGCCCGACGAGGTGCATCTCTTGCTCCCGCTTGCATCTCACAAGGAGCATTTGGTCTTTCGGAGACCAGTACGTCGCTGACTTCCCACCGTTGTCACTGACGCCACCTCTTAACGGATCGATCACGAACAGCACCTATGCTGCGTCCTTTCCCCCTCCCACCCGTCTTCCCCAAAGGCCGAATAGGAATGTCGTCGTCGTCGTCCCCTGCTTCCACGTCCTCCCTCAATCCTTCACCGGCATTGTCACCACCACCGCCATCGTTGTCGCTGCCATCGCTGTGTGCCCGCATGTTTGACACTCCTCGTGTGATGCTCTCCACAATGGGTCCTGGACGCACCGGTGGTATGCGGGCGCCCTCGTCCCTCAGGTCGGGTTGGGCCGGCGTTGTGCGGTTGGGCATCGAAGGACGTGCACCGCCGATGCGCAGGGACCCGGATGCGACTCCAGTACGCGCGGGCCAGGTACTTGTCAATTGATTGGCGGACGGTGCAGTCGATCCATGCTGTCGGGATGCTGCCGATCGCCCGACATCGCCAGTAACGGACGCACCGCCACGAAGTGTGGACTGCTCCGTATGCTCACTTCCAGCATGTTGAAGGCCACGTGGCGAAGGATCGGTGTCGATGATGAACGTACGGCTCGCCTCCCTAGCGCCGCCAGAACACAACCCGAACATGAGATCAAGTCCTCCATCTTCGTCATCTCCCAAGCCTTGGTGCAGAAGTGAGGTGAACTCGCCGCCTTCGTTGCTAGCCGACCCGCCTGCTCGCACCGTCTGCGACAACAGCTGCGTCGACCCGCTGGCGAGAGGCAACGTTGGAAGTTCTTCCGTCTCCGGCTCCTCGTCCAACGGGGGCAGTGGCGTCTCCCGCGACTCTAGATGGGTGTACATGGATGGGTCGTACCGCCGTCGAGGCTCCGCCATCGCAGGTCGTCTTCCGCCCTGACCTGCAGCCAGAACCGCGCATGCCTGCATACCCGCCATCGGACGTTCCCCTCCCTGCCGTTTCGTTGACGCCCTCCACTTGCGACGTTGCTTCCACGATCGGCACGACAAACACACGTGGAGGAAGACGACAAACAGGAAGATGACCACAGCGAGCACCAGCACAGGCAATCTCTTGTGCATGTCTGCCATCAATTGAATCGCAGGCAGGCACCCTTCCACGCGACTACTGCAGAAGTATCTTCTGGCATGCCGGTGGATAGGGCCTCTGGACCTTCATATGCCGACAACCACCATGGTAGACGACGAAGGTGCCTGCCTGCGATTAAAAAATCGACTGTTGCCGCCCGCGCACTGCCAGAAGCGCCTATGTATGTCGTCCCGCGCACGTCGTCGTCGTCCTCCGCTACCCGCAACCGAGCCAACGGTCCACTACGGACGCCCGCCCGCCCACGCTCGGCCCCCCGCGCTCCACCCCGTTGGGCAACGGCTACCATTGGTGGCCGTTGCCAACGTCGACCCGCAGAAAACCTCTGATGTCCGACCACCCACTCGATGGACCGCTCCTGGACCAGCAACCCCGTGTTGACGGGGCCATGCGCGCGACGCAACGAGTCTGTGGAACGCGGGAATCCTAAATTTTTCAGTAGGTCGGGGGCTACTGGAAAATTTAGGACGATTTTGCCTGGAGAATCCTAAATCCTTTAGGACTCGTCCTAACGCCGTTTTCACATTTTCGATCTCGAAATTGGATTTAGGATTGCGTGCAACAAAGACGCAATCCTAAAAACAGGCACTTTTAGGAGTGTCTAACGAGACCCTATGTCCGAATCTGCAAATTTCTTTTCTTGTTTAATGGGACGCTGGACCCGGCTTCCGGCAGGTGATGTTTTTTTGTTTTTTGTTTTGTGTGTGTGTGTGTGTATGTAATAGATTGAAAGGATGAAATTTCTTGTGCCACAAGTGAAGTGGGCCAGGGCCCAGAACGCCCTGGAAAAGAGGCCAAGAGGGCAAGCTGGTAGTATGGAGTGAACCAGGTCGTTATTTGGACCAGATTCAGGCCTGTCCTGGCCCCTCATGCCTGGCCCACGGCCACGATCTTGGCCTCGCCTGATGTGGCCTTGACTACTGTAACAGTGCTTATAGGAACTTACAGTGTGTCTGGCACAGCGGCCTGAATTCTTTACTGTATTTAAAACTCTGACCGCAACTGAACTGCGAAAACCTGTTCCCATTGAAAATCAAAACTTCTTGATTTATTACACTGATAAAAGGAGAAAAGAAGGCACCTGAGCCTCATTCATGCACTTGTTCATTCCCACTGTCAGGTGTATTGTATCCGCAATAATGGAATGCCGTATCTGGCTGCTCATAGTTCATTGTATACCATTCAGACATATGGGCTGTATCATTCCAATTGTGGAGGGGGCCCCAGATACTACCAGGGCAGGTGCCTCTTAGGCATACTGAAATGGTAAGGGCTGGATGAGGACAGGAAGGCCCTTAAAAATATAAATAAAAGAATTTAAAGATAACGCCGTTGTTGTTCGGACAAATGCAATTATGGTTTGAGAAACGACAAGGCAACATTGTGGTCTGCCGTGGGTGTGCTTTTTTCTTGTCCAAGAGTACTGTCACTGGAATGATCACTTTCTCCCGGCTTTCCCAGCTCATTTATTGCATGCATTGATTGCATGCATTTATTGCATGCTTTACTACATGCATTTATTGCGAGCATTTATTACATGCATTTATGGCATGCATTTATTACATGCATTTATGGCATGCATTTATTACATGCATTTATGGCATGCATTTATTACATGCATTCATTGTTCTGCCACAGCTACGGCAGAGTGGACGGGCCGTGCTGGAGTGGAATCTGGTCACCCCAATACTCTACTTGCACATCATGTCCTCCACGAGAGTAAAACCTCACATCGTGTGCACATTTTGTTTCTACATAGAGTGTGTAAGGGTCTTTTTCCCTGGCCTTTAATTGAACATCCGATTCTTCTTTATCCAGTAGGTGGGTGATAAGAGCACCTTCTGAATAATTGTCATCTGCTACTTTCAATGACTCCGATGTATGGTGTGGGGGGCGGGCGTCTCATACCGGAAACCTGGTCCAGTGCCTCTTTACAATTCTACACAAGAGTACATTGAAGCTGATCTCACATTCAACCACCTCCACCTCTCACCGCTCGGGGCACCTGATATGACAAGACAATACTGGTCCAGGACCTCCATTTTCTGAAAGGAACTCTCAGGGCAAACTCTCCACACTTTTTTCTCACGCTGATCAGGAGGGGAGGTATGCCAGACGGATGAAGCGTAGTCAGACTCTACTCATCGTCGTATTCTGTGTCGTCCCAAGCTCTTTGACGAGGCTCAGCTACGCTGAATAATTCTTTGTCATTAAAGCACCAGTACCTCGCCCAGCTTGAAAAAGCCGACGCGAACATGTGTACCTGTTAAACCACCAGTACTTCCTGAATTCGCTCCGCGTATACGGCCAGCCAAAAGTGGAAACCGCGCCGTTTCCACTTGGCTGAATCGGGCCTACCGGCCCAGGCCCGTTCACCCCAAATTTTGCTCCGCGTATACAGGAGAGTTTTCAGGAAGTACTGGTGGTTTAATATGCATGATCTGTTTTGCCCATTGCCCAGGCCCTGTGAACCCTAAGTGGGCGGATTCTCCTCTCAGACTGTTCTACCCTCTGATTCAACTTGGCTCCTGACCATTTGATGGCTACCGAGAATAACCTACAGTACCTCAGACTACCCTTGCTGCTTTAGTTAAAAACCACCAATACCTCCGACAGTGGTGGCAGGTAACCCCCCCTGACGCGCTCGGATGAACAGGCCTGGCCAGGAGCGCCCAAATTCATCCAAGTCGAAACGCTTCCACTTTATTTTTTCCCGTGGCCGATCTATCATGGCGGCTGTGGACCCAGCCTCCAAGGAGACACGACAATCTGAGCGCTGAAGATTCTTGCCGTACTCCCATACATACCCCAGGTAGATACGAACCAGAGCAGCGTAGATCCCATAGTGCGGTTTCTACAGCAGCGTCTCGAGTCACGCGAAATCCAGTAGTACGGATTTTAGTCAGCACCATGTCCACTTTTTCCTTTTTTTTTTTCCCTTCTGTTAGTGTGGACCATTTCCTGATTTATACATGTCATGCTTGCTCAGGGGGCATGCTAATCTTCTCTGCATCGTTCCAGTTTGAAGTTTTAACGGATGTCCCGAAGGACTAGCAGTTTTCAAGCTCTGTTTTGCCAAGTTCTGTTTCCTTCCGCTGTATTGTTTAGAGTAACTGATGTCTGTCTCTTCGGAAGAGAGACTGAGACTGCCAGACATGCCTCTGCTGCATCAGTTTGCTTTGGTTAGATCATAGGAGTCAGACGACCTCGATCCACTACTTGCCAAATGTGCAAAATGAGAAATTCAACAAATCTTCCCGTAGAAAATGGATTCGAACGATACCCTGCAGCCATATTTCCTTTTTGTCTTTTGTGCATGTCGTGCGTGAGTGGTGGAGCGAGGCCCATAGTCTCCTCTGCGTCTTGCATCCCATGTTGCCCTTCTTCTTGATGGCTGTTTTGCCTCATGAGCTCCCCGACCGGTAATCTACTTTACTTTGTATATGGATTCATGATCAGACCTGATCCATAATCAGCCCGGGCCCTTAATCTGTTGATTCTGTTACATATTTAGGCGGTCATGCTTGCTGTTTCTATTCCGTTTTCACTGCTAAAGATCTCACATCCAGCAAAACAAAGTTATGTTCATATCAAGGAATGCGCGGGGCACTTGATTCTCTGCTGTGGATACTTGAGAGAAACTGGTTGCTTGGTTAAACCACCAGTACTTGGGCGACGCCTTAGCGTTAACGCTACGCGATTTCCGCGGCCGGCGGGCCGTCGATAAATCGAATCGACAGCCCGCGCTGCTTCGAGATTTGGGCGGCCGGCGTGGCGCGCAGTGCCCAAGTACTGGTGGTTTAAGTGCAAACGTTGCACCAAACGGGACCCCATCCCACCTAAGGTCCTTGCCCCCCCCAAAGCAGAGCCTAAGGTAACCAACAGACATGTGCAGTCTAACCACAAACCCCTACCTGCATCCTCATTAGACTGCTAACTGTATCAGGCAAGCCCCTCATCGGCCAGGACGCCACATACAACACCATGGAAAACCCTTGGCAGCCAGTGTCTGTATTAGCTTACCATGCGTCAGCCCAAAGGGTGCGTGCGTCATTCTAACGCCCTGCCGGTGTCCATGCGTGAGGCTGCGGATCTGAACCCACAACCTCATACCACTGCGCATATCCAACCGGTGTTCTAACCACTGAGCTTCCTTACATCAACTGGACTGGTACTTACCTCAATCTGAGTGGTGTGTGAGTGAAGAAGGGTTGAGAGCCTTGACGGTGTTGATGTTGAGGTGCAGTCTGGGGAAGGCGATAGCACCATGATATAAAAACTCGTGGCATCTTCTTCGTAAGGTTTATCCATTGTGCTATTTCCCCACGCCTGTGTTGCTGTGTGCCTGTGGTGTGCTCGCAGGATGCTGCTTGGTTTTGATGGCATGCCAGTATGGCGTGTGTTGGTGTGTGTAGGTGTGGCGGGCTTGCAGGATGCTGCCTAGGTCGGTGTGCAAGTGCACGGCTGGTCTCCGATGCAAAGCTCTGGAGACGCCAGTTTAGGCGCCTGACCTCTCGGGTATGGAAACAGAGTTGGCACACTGTTTTTGCATGGCTGATTGAGATGCGCACCATGGAGAAGAACATTGGAATTTGGAACCTGGATCGGGTTCTTGGAGTGTCCTTTTCTGGGTCAAACCGTCAAACAGCTTTCTGAAGCGGACAACTACTTGGGACAAGACAATCAAGTGTTCTTATAAATTGAAGGGGTCTTCTCCACACACACACACACACACACACACACACACAGAGAGAGAGAGAGAGAGAGAGAGAGAGAGAGAGAGAGAGAGAGAGAGAGAGAGAGAGAGAGNGAGAGAGAGAGAGAGAGAGAGAGAGAGAGAGAGAGAGAGAGAGAGAGAGAGAGAGAGAGAAGGAAGCGGAAGACTACTTGGGACGAGACAATCAAGTGTTCTTAACTTTCTTATAAATTGAAGGGATTATTAATTTATTACTATTATTAGTAATTTATTACTTGTGTAACAGCTAGTTTTGGATATAGTTTGGACAAGAATGTTACACTTTCTAGATATGGACTTGGACCAGAAGTTATGACACCAGACTGTGCCTATGTGGATTTTGAAATTTGAACTGAGTTCCTTGCACAACAGAGCTCCACCACATATTAAATTTGCAGCATGCC